GGCACAGGCCTGGGGTTTTAATTTTTCAGAGTCTTCCCTGCCCCCAGCCCAGCCTTGAGCCCTGGGGCCAGGGCCACTAGCTCAACCCACAGTATTGCTGAGAGCCTCCTAGTTTGAATTTTAGAAGCAAGGTTGAGTTTTCAGTTCCTCTTAGAATTACAGTAGTCAAGAGATTATCTGGTTTGGCCTCCAATTTTAGGCATGTAAAATTTGCCCAATGTCAAATGTAGGGTGCGGCCTCAAACCCAGGTATCTTAACTTCTTAAGAGGCATTCTTTCAGTTTTACCATGCTACCTTCTCTCTAAAAGTCCTGGGAGTTCCTAGAACTAAGTATAAAAAAATAATATCTATTAGTTGGATTTCATTTAGTCACTTTTACATATAGTTTCATTTGTTCCTAGGCACATTATAACCTTATTTGGAATAAATTACTCAATACCAAGTATTATTAGATTTTTTTTTAACTTACTTTAATAATCACAGAAGACTATTGTCAGAACATGCCAGAAAACTGGGCTTTTTATAAACTTCAATGAATTAAAGTTTGTCTCTGAGAGCTGTGGTTTTTATACCATGGAAATAACTAAAACATTCTGGAATTTTCTCTTCATAAATACTAATGTAGATACATAATCACCTTAATAGTCACAAAATTATGTGTTACATATTTTAGATATTTTATTTACTTCCTCCTGGAATTTTTTGCTCATTAAATTATTCTTTAAAACATTGTTTTACAGTGACCATATGTTGTTGCCTTCAAAAATATGTCACCCCATTGTCACTTGATTGTATTAAAGTAAGCAGTTTCAGGATACAATAACTAGTAGATTTACTGATTTTTGAACTTTAAAAATCTGTATCATAAGTGGTATTAACTCTTAAAACTGTTAATGAAATCTGAATTCTAACTAGTATAATGTCATTTCAGTGTATTTAACAATACCGTGGAAATAAGATTTATCATTAAAATGATGTCCTAGGATATTTGTTATATATGTACATTTAAGAGAATCTGTCTTGGCTAAATAATTGAGTGCATTTTTTGTAGCAAGAATTTTCTTGAAACTGTAAATCTAGTTTTGTATCAGCACTATATTTTAGTCTTTGATAAAGCAAGAGTATAATTCGCTTAGTTATTACTGAAATATTAATATCTAAATGAGCCTTAATCAAAACAATCTGATTAATTTATATAAGCTAGAGCTGTGTGTGTGTGTGTAAATTATACCATACTGAAGACCTAATACCATTTAAAATTTGCTTTCCTTGGGTAGCTCTCTGCTATTATAGTATTATGGATAGCCAACAGTAGTTATCAAAGTATTAGAATCAGTAACATTTAGGTCTGTTATGTAAGAAGGTAGTGGAAAGGGGAGGTATTACTGACTTCTTAGATATGGTTCTGATTGTGTTAGGGATGCAGAGAAATATACTTTAACTGGACCTCAAATCATCCTTCTTCTAAGCAACTCATCCTTTTCCAACTCTAGTTATGAATCTTTATATTACGTTCTTTATGGTCTTACAGGAAAAAGTAAAGAAAACTTTTCAAAAAAACCTTTTCAGAAGTTAAATGCTTCTTGAGGGAAATTGGAAACATGTGGAGAGGACAGCAATACAAAGAGTGGGAAAATATGTTAATCACTGAATCATTCTTTTCAAGAGTTAACAAAACATCATTTTGTCCAGAATTAGGCTTGGATTATTAACTGTTGACTCAAGTTCACTCTAAGTTAGCCAAACCAAAAAAAGATCATTCCCTCTTAGGGAAGTTGGCAGACAATTTTACTAAAGAATACACTGTTATACGTTAATACACTCAAAGATGGAGGGTTTTATGACTCCTATTTTTTACAGTGATCATCTTTTCTTCTCTCCTGTTTACCATTTGGATATGTTTTAAGGTTGATACTGTGAAGTATCCTGAAGTAGATTGACTTTTGTAGGCCAGGGAGGTAAATATTATAACACAATGCTAAGAAAAGCTGTTGATTTCTAAAAAAAAAAAAAAGCTTTTTTTGTTAATGCTCTTCCATTTTGATTTAACAGGTATTCTAAAATAGCCATTTCCCTGAAATTTTGTGATTAGTGAAATGCTTCAGTTTTCAGGATTGTCACTCCATCTTTGGGTTTGTGGGTCCTCTGTGTGTTTTCTCAAGATGTGCTGTGTTTGGGGTAGTCAGAAAAGTGGAAATATTACTTCCCAGTTCTGTCAGCAATTTTAGGCAAGGCACTGAATGCCTGTTTCTATTTGTCTGCCAAATAGGGAGGGCAAAAACTGTCCCTTCCACTTTGCAATACTGTAAGAGAGGAAAGTGAAATTGCTAGCAAATTCTCCAAAAAGTTGAAATTCTCATTTTACATTTGTAGTTTTTTATAGCCTTGATCAATTTTATTTTTTCTTTTGTGTGTTTGACTAATCACTGTTTTAAGTTTGTAAGCATTGGTCCAGTTAGCATTAAGAGGCTATATATTGGGCTTTCCTGGTGGCGCAGTGGTTGAGAGTCCACCTGCCAATGCAGGGGACACGGGTTCGTGCCCCGGTCCGGGAGGATCCCACATGCTGCGGAGCGGCTGGGCCCGTGAGCCATGGCCGCTGAGCCTGCGTGTCCGGAGCCTGTGCTCTGCAACGGGAGAGGCCACAACAGTGAGAGGCCTGCGTACCACCAA